GTAGTAATAGTTTGGCCATAACACTGTTCAATAATATGACAAATAAATTGTAGTGTCCCATTCCTATTGATTATTTCAATGTACTCGTTGATGAATAGCACTTTTGTTGACCAGTCTTCTTATCGTAAATGTGCATCCTGTACAGGTTGACTCGATATTATTTTGAGTTATAAGCATCAGAATCAGAAACGTGTGGTGGCTACCAGTGGAATATCACTTTATCCCATTTAAAACTCACCAGGTTGGTGTACTTGCATCACAGAGTTGGTGTTCACTCTGAGACTCAAAATCAGAACCGTTTACTGCAAACATCGTGTTATCTCATCAGCTAGTAAATGTAGATACACATTGAATCATAAAAACTGTTTCAGCGATGAATATGAAGGAGAACATTGACTTGGTAAATTCGATTTTTAGAAATCATTTCCTCATCATGTCGTTGAATGCTTTGATTGTGACAAAATGGGACACATTAAGTAAGTGTGTATGACTACTGTGAGTGTTCGTTGTTGAGAGGTCTCATGCTAGAACATGCCGGCTATCAAGTTCTTCTAGTATTTCAATGGTGGTCCGACTTAGATCAATCATCACTTTAATGAATTCAGTTCTCCTTCCTATAATGTTCTAATGATTGCGAATTCTTGTGTTCTCATTTGCTCAATTGTATTCAAAAAGGTATAAAACGTATATTAGGATCTGCTTTCTATTAAAAAGTTTGATTCGTCTGTTTGTTTCTTTATAACTGATGAAGAATCAGTGTTGTAATTGACATCGTTTGTTGAGGAGTAGCAACATTATTTTGATTAGTGGAGTGAAATAATCGGACAGACATGTAGAACATGCGAAGTGCAATTCAGTCTACTTTGATGAAAGTGCTGATATGCACTAACTAATCACATAGTAGTATGCAATATCATGTTTTTCTGGCTCTCAGTGCTGACTAAACTTCATCTATGGAGTTGAAAATGAAGCCTGGTAGTACAGGTGTTCAGTTGTGGAACGTGTATTTCAGTGATAAGTTGCCAAACTGTGAAATTGTATGACACGACTTCTCATCAAACAGTAAACATCAGGACTCTTGATATTCTAGTTATCTCTTAAAGAGAATTGTCAACCAGCATGAAGCTTGTGTTCAAACATTGCTGTCATCCAACATTAACTACTTAACATATACTAAGTAATTGCAGGATGATCTCATTACACGCTATCACTAAATTACATGTTCTCATTATGTTTCATATACATAGTGCCTAGTGGAACGCATATGTCTGTGTTATTCGTTACAGTAACAGTTGCAGCCATTAATAATTTCTTTGATTCGTTTACCTAGTGTTGTCTAGTAGTTTAATGATGAATATTGGGATGATAGAGAGCATTTGTCTCCTAACATATGCAGTAAACGTTAATATTTCGCTTGCAACCTTTGAGCAACGACAGTAATGAAAAGCTAAACACGGAATTAGTTGGATGAATACATGTTGACTACTTCACTCCCTGTCCTTAGTTCACATGTTGATGCAGACCAGTCCTGAAGCAACAATTTGCATATAGATGTGAAGAAGCTCATCCAAAACATCCTGACACTGTTGTTCAGTGCTATAAAATGGTCTGCATTTTATCAGCATCTTCACCAAACTTGACTATGTCATCTGCGTATTCTCAATCAATAAGTGGGAACCCTGGTGGAAGATTGATTCTTGAATAATCAGTACACGGAAATCTCATTTACTGTAGTAAGTCTTTGAAGGAAGCATGATCGGACACCACCTGAGTTTGTGAAATCATATGGCAGTTTCACATAAGCTCTGACTCGACTGGTGGTGTTCGAAATACTAGAAGAACATGATAGCCGGCATGTTCTAGCATGAGACCTCTCAACAACGAACACTCACAGTAGTCTTACACACTTACTTAATGTGTCCCATTTTGTCACAATCAAAGCATTCAACAACATGATGAGGAAATGATTTCTAAAAATCGAATTTACCAAGTCAATGTTCTCCTTCATATTCATCGCTGAAACAGTTTTTATGATTCAATGTGTATCTACATTTACTAGCTGATGAGATAACACGATGTTTGCAGTAAACGGTTCTGATTTTGAGTCTCAGAGTGAACACCAACTCTGTGATGCAAGTACACCAACCTGGTGAGTTTTAAATGGGATAAAGTGATATTCCACTGGTAGCCACCACACGTTTCTGATTCTGATGCTTATAACTCAAAATAATATCGAGTCAACCTGTACAGGATGCACATTTACGATAAGAAGACTGGTCAACAAAAGTGCTATTCATCAACGAGTACATTGAAATAATCAATAGGAATGGGACACTACAATTTATTTGTCATATTATTGAACAGTGTTATGGCCAAACTATTACTACTTTATTCAACCTACACTTTTCACAGTTCTACTTGAGTATTTCCTTAGCTATCTAAAGTTCTTTTCACAATCCGTATTCATTATACTGTATTAACTGTAATTTGTCTTTGAGCTTTCAATAAGCAAACAATAATGAAGAACGGATGTGTTTAATTACATATTAGTATGGTGTCCCAACAACTGAGTTTAAATTAATGACCATCGTAAATATCAAATGATATTATTCTGTAGTGAAACTTCCTTAAAATCATCGGTATAGTGTTGTGAAGATTATTAGGTTATTGACTGGGATCATGAACCGATTGATGTTAGACCACTATTGAGAAACTGGAAGCAATGGATGGTCGTTTCCTTCTATTTTGCGACTCCTCATCAGTGCACATTCACGATCCGACACCCCGTGGGATTCTAACTCAGGGCCTTCGGCCTTGCGCACATACGCTCAACCTACTAGAGCACTGAATAGCTTCACCGGTCACGGCTTTTCGCTAAAACTGTGAGAACCCCCTCAAGAAGCTAATCACTAGTGAGCACATGGTAATTATCAGCATAGGGTTGTGGATATTATTAATTTAATGATTGAGATCATGAACAGATTGATGTTAGACCACTATTGAGAAACTGGAAGCAATGAACGACTATTTCCTCCCATTGTCTGACTCCACAGTGCTCATACACAATCTTGTTCGCGGAATTTGAACCTAGGACCTTCAGCCTTGTGCACAAAATACTCAACCTACTAGACCGCTGAGCCGACCTATATCCAACGGTGTAACACAAATTACTTTGGATCAAATGAAAACAAACACATATATAATGAAAACCATGTTTAATATTTGATTAAAACAAAACAGAGCAAACAAAACAGAACAGCAAAAAACATTACATAATTGATCACATAATTGATCATAGAAAAGTGCATAAACTAATATCTAAACTACTGAAATGAACTACAAAGTACAGTTCTATTCATATATGAAAATGTTTCTGTAGAACATAAATTACATTTATTTTCCTTTAAATAATTTAAACCATATGACAAATCCAACACATACAATCACGAAACATATAGCTAATGGTATCAATACATATAATAAAACAGATGATTTCTGAAATGAAATAAACAAAGCAACATAGATATATATATATCAGTTTAGAGGTTGTGGACATTGTCAAGTTTTTGACTGGGATCATGAACCGATTGATATTAGACCACTGTTGAAAAGCTGGAAGCAATGGATGGTCGTTTCGTTCTATTGTGCGATTCCTCAACAGTGAGCATCCACATTCCCGCACTCCGCGAGATTTGAACCCAACGCCTTCAGTCTCACGCACAAACGCTTGACCCACTGAACCACTGAGCCGGCATCTAATGGTGTTAATGTGTAACCTCAACCAATCCACAAAGTAGAAACAGGTGTCTACCTCAGTACAATAGAAGGTGGTCGCGCAATTTCGTGAATTGATTGATTTTACACATTAACACCGTTGTATACCGATCCAGTGGTCTAGTAGATTGAGCGTTTGTGCACAAGGCTGGATGGTCCGAGTTTGAATCCCGCGAGCAAGATTGTGGATGCGCACTTTTCAGCAGTCCCACAATAGGGCGAAACGGCCTTCCATTGCTTCCAGATTTTCAATTGTTCTATTACATCAATTGATTCATGATCACAATCAAAAAAGAAAGAAAACTTTGTTAAGTTTAATGGTTACTTACAGTGGTATGACAACCATTTTCCATCCAATGATCAATATGTGTATCAAGACGATTGGTACATGTATTAGCTTCTGAACACCAATAACATGCCATATTCGGTTTAGATGCAGATAGACATGTTTCTTCTGAATCTTTAATGTAACACGTTTCTATAAAACAAAAGAACATGATGATTGTAATACAAGTGATTGAATAAAAGAAACCTTAAAGAAATGTAACTATAAACTGCTTATTATTCTCCGACATCAATTCACTCCACAAGTCCCCAAATCAGAACATGGTTGAACAGGAAAACCGATTATATTCCAAATAACAAGGTTAGATGGAAGTAAGAAGAAGAAGAAGAAGCACAATAGGAAAAACGTTTGTGTATATTTATAGTTTTTACATTGAGGAGATTCTAGAATGTTCTCCTAGTATCGACCAGTGCTGATTAAATAAGAATTAGCCAATCAGCATGCGCCAAAGTACTCATACATTGACCATGCTTCAATCCAATCTATGTCCCGCTAACACAAGGTAATTACAATCAATATTTGAGGAAAATTCGATATCACATGCACTAAATAAATGAACAATGGCACACTCCTTTGTCAATGCATCCTCAATTAACTATCGATAAATTTTATTCACCAATTGTATCATCTTATCCGTCGTTTTTGTGACACTGTGATTACGTAATATTGAACAAAACGACGACTAAAATATCAATCAAGTTTGATCTATCATATTGAATATTCAACAACGAATCGAAAAGAAGTCATGCATAGTGAACAGAACGTCCGTTGAGATAGATGTTTGCATAACGGACTAAAATCTAACTTGGAATTCTTCATTTGAAGTAATCAACTTAAGGTGTTCAAATGTGACAATGGTCAATACTGATCAAATCACTTATTACATACCTGTATTCGGTTCAAACTCCACCAAAGTACGATGTTTGATCAAGTTTACTGGAACGTTAATTCGATTGTACGGTTCTAACATGGACTCTGATTGAACAAAAGAACAAACACTTCAATTTACGATTTCTATTGAAATTATAACAAGTGGTGTGTATCATTTAACTTGTGAACAAAATAAGAAACATCGTTGAGTTTGAATAAAGTGGAGGTAGTTCAACATTCCGAAGGAGAAAATGTTTGTTTCCTAACAAGTTATATCACATTTCGGATTAAAGCTAGTCAACATGAAGAGTTACAGTTTAGTTTCAATATAGTTAATCACAGTTCTTCAATATTCAATAGACGTCGTCTGAAACTTCGAGCAATTTCATCGGTGACTCACACTGTGATTCTTTTATTACGTAAAACAATTGAATATTAGTTCAACAAGTATCATCATAATACTGACGTTGGTTCAGAATATAGTGTACTGATAACAGATGATTTCGATGTACATCACTGTACATTGAAACATTCAGAATGATAACGGTAAAATGTTTCTTACTGCTCGTTGTTTCATCTATACAATGGTGTTGATAATTAATCCACGACTGTAAATTGCTTTCATCAGTTGGCTTGGGTATCTGAAAACAACCATAGGAAATATGAATTAAGATCTGTTAAACACACAACCACATACATCAAAAGCAACTAATCATTTCAGTAGTGTGTCATCATTCAGGTCTGATATACAATCGGTCAATGATAAAACGAGGCAATACAATGTAGCATGAACATCTACGTCTTTTGAATTGAGATACGATTTTGAATAACTCCATGAATAGCAACTACTAATGTTTCCAGATTACTTCTTATCATTTAAAACAAATTGAGTTTAAAACATGTCATCTGTTCTTTCATAGAACCATATTATAAAGAATCAACAACAGTTGTATTCAAAATAAGTGAAACATCAAACGATGACATTGAAATAACTACACACTCCGAACTGATCAACAATTTCATCAATTGACTCATGATTTCAATTAGTGGAATTTCTAAAATCTCCACAAAACTACTTCTGATAATAATCATCTGTTCACTAGTGACTGACTTCAATAGATATGCGTGCAGTTCTAGTGAGAAGCCGTTTCCAGTGGAGTTCAACCAGGTCTGTTGTGAGATAGATATCAACTCACTGAAGCCAATGGTGTACGGTGGGGCGACTTCGTGGATTGGCTGAAGTTAGACATTAACGCCGTTGGATGCCGGCCGGCTCAGTGGTCTAGTTGGTTAAGCGCCTGGTGCGAGACCGAAAAGTCTTGGGTACGAACCTCGCGTGTTGCCGGATCGTGTGTGCGCACTACTGAGGAGTCCTGTACTAGGACGAAACGGCTGTCCAGTGCTTTCACGTTTTCCATGGTTGTCTAGCTTCAATTCACTCATGATTTCAATCAGTGAAATTTCTAAAATCTACACAAAACCTCGTTCACAAATGATGTCAGAATAAAATGCCTCATTAAAGTTCAAGTTATAATGTCATACAACCTGTCTACACAATATAAAATCTTGTTCTGCTTTCCTCGTGTTTAGTGTATCTAGACACACTATCGACATTACTCAAGTAAATGAGACAGCACAATGAAATAACATTACATCACCATTCAATAGTGAAACTTACATTCTCAAAGTAAATAGACATCTTCCCATTCGGATATATCATGTAAGTTACTTGACCTGTTACATCTACCAAATGAACATCATCGTTACACAGAATATGAAGAACAATTAATAAACATGTTATTGTTGCATTCGACATTGTATATACCAACTCATTATGTGATCAGATCTGTTTACATCAAGTCATAATGAACACATTCAAGTGAACATGATGTCAATGAAATGAAGATGTATCCTTCAAAATGACTGTAAGATATCTAGTTCTCAAATGTGAATCAATCCGTCATTTTTACATTGAAACAATGAATCATGAGCTTTTCGATCAGATCTAATACTGTAAGAGATAGATATTCGCATTCACGCAATAATTTGTGTTTCTCACTGAAGATCAATCAACCTGATGTGGAGAGTCAATGAGAAGTAGTCTAGTGAGAAGCTATATCGATGATAATTAAGAGTGGACTGAAGGACAAGTGCATTTGATTGGGTAAGAAATGTATGCGTTTACTGAGAATTAATGTGTTGGATACATGAAAGAGTTTTTGCGTATTTTATTCAGCAGCCAAATTCACTTTCTCACACACATCACTTCTGTGTTGTCGCTCACCATGTATCAATCTCTGCTCTCAGATCCCTACCCATAACAGTCCTCTCATCAAGTTCTATTTGAGTTTGTCAATCAAAATGATTCTTTGCAATTGATTTTACTTACCACCAGAATTTGCATTCTTCTGAAGTGACCATTTGACAGCGAATAATTTGTCTGATAAAATGAATATTAAATGAGTATTTACGGATATGTATATTGAATATCTATCTGTTTTAATAATAAACATACATTGTAACATAGAATGAGTTTGAACATAGGTCATGATCTTCCCTTTAGGATTTGAGTAAATGGATGCAGTTGAATGATCAATCAACCCTGATGATGCGATTTCAAGGATTGTTAATTATGATGAACATTTTCAATTCAAACAACTGAGAAGAATATTTTACTCTTATAACGTTGGTTCTAGGAACTTTAGAATAATTCATGAACTTCACAAGTCTTTCCACCAGCAACAGTTGCGTAAAACCATCATAACTTCCATAAATCCGATAGAAAAACTTATTCCCAATTAAGCTAATTATCATTCAGAAATGTTATTCCGACGTCAATAATTGTGCTGAATCACCGAAATAGATGAAATTGAACTGAGAAATTCTACTTGAGTTCATAAGCTGGGTGTTCTATTTTAAGTAAATCATTTTGTTGTAACGGACTATTCATGGTCGTTCATTTGATTCGCTATTTCAGGAAAGGCATGCGTTCAAATTTCATAATCATACAATTACGATAATTTAGAAAGTGTTGAATATCCTATGGTCTGCAGACAACAACTAAGCGACATTAAACCTTTATGAATCAAGTAAGTGCCAGAAAAGAGATGCAGGACATCAAATACATTTACGTAGTTAATATGTCTCAATAAGACAATCTGTCATAACGCAGGAATTCACTTATTGTTGTGCATGTGGTCAGTTAAGTTCATTGAATCTACTGAGATTTATCGAGATATTGTAATATCTTTTGTACTATAGTTCAGATAGACTGGAACCTACTTAATGGTAACTTTGAGTTATTTCTCATCAATCAATTTGTGTTTATTTGAAAGTGAATGCTCATCTTATTTTACATTTGTACCTGACAGTAATGACTACATATTGTGAAGGAATGTTCGAGTAGTGAAACACACAAACCAATACAATCATTGCGTATCATCCAGTTAAATAGTAAAAATGTGAAAGAGAAAAGTATGTTTATTCAATAATAGAACGACTCACTTTCATTCAGAATCTCAGGTGTGTCTTCAAAGGTGATCTTTTCAAAGATTTTAATTTTTCCCATTACTTTGTCTCCGAAATTTACCATTAAACCTGTATTTATTAAATGGATGGATAATAACAACCCATTCACAGTTAATTTCGATTATGGTTACATTTAGGTTAAGCCCTTTTGTTAACTTAGTTGACAGACAATGTGATTCGAACAGTAACGATTCGTATATTTCTCTGTACTATTATCATCACTACCATGTCTGTATAAACATGTACTTTGGTCACGAGACAGACTCTGGCTTAAATGTTGATCGCTTAAATATCGATTATGGATCATTCTCTTCCTCGTGTATAACATGGTACTCGAATCCTATTATTAGCCTTTGCTTTGACTAGCTGCACCTTATTCAATTTGACCATAAATAATTCGCTTCTGTATTTGCTCGCACACACACACACATTCTTCTTACTCCATCAAATTCGCTCAAAGTGCTTTGTTAACTGGGCTATCTATCCGCTGATAAACTGTAGTTGCCACTTCTTATTGTCTTCTCATTTCACATAACATTGAGATTTCTATCACAACATAACGGTTACAAAGATGATTGATAAACGATGCAAAGCCATTACAACATACAATTTTGAATGATAATTAACAGTGAATGAATGAATAGATTTGTCAGTCCGTGACGAACATTTACAATACAATTCCTACCCCTAACCATCATCAGTAAATCTTCATCTTAATTCCTCAAACTAATCTATAACCCTCATTAAGTAGTAGTCAATCGGTGGACGTCATCAACATTACTTTATTGTTGCTCAAAGGTTGTCCATAATGCATAGTCTCATTCAATTGTGAGTTTAAGAAATATCATTCAATGTGATTAACAGAACTTAGTATCAAGAAAATTGTTCTCTTACCAGAATCAATCATTGTCAATCCATCGACTGATTTACCGTAATATTTAAACTGGAATTTAGGCTTAACCATCTAAAAGTGTACACACACACATTCGTGTTAGTACCATCTATTACAAAATGGTATCAACTTACTTCAGAAGAGATATCACTCTTGACAAAAGTTCCACTTTCAATAGGATTGGGTTGATCAAGTTGAATTCTTTGAAAATATTCATAATGATCAGACTGTGTATATATGTGAAATTAACATCTAATTGGTTACTTACATAACTGTATGAAGTATTTTGAGAAATTATCTTTTCATATTTCACATCTTTTATACGTCCACAAGTGTTCTGACAGTCGAATATCTTGGTGAATACAATGACCAACAAACAAGATGGAAGAGTAAATCTGTAACATTGAAAATGAACGTAACATTATAGATTAGTGTCATCAAATTGGAATGAATATGCTTCATTCATTTATTGAATCGTTTCACTTGACACTTACTTCATCTTCTTCTTGTTTAAGAGAGTAGAATGATATTGAAATGGTTTCTCAGGTTTATATAGACTTTTTTGGGTTCACTTCTTTCTGTATGATTTGATGATTCAAAACAACCAATAAAAAAGATCATGTGTCACATATTTATGTGTTTATTGTGAATCGATAATTGTGCAGATGAACGTCATCATTGTTCAATATTCTTCTACCTACTATTAAAGTTGTGTGCTGACAATTATTCACAAGGTTGTTGAAATTTCTTACCTCTATTGATGGAATATTATTGGATAGAAATAAAATATGTGCTCATGTGTTCTACAATAATAAACGTTTGATTGGCGGTAATATTTGGTTAACTCTTGTAATCTGATTGGTTAGAATCAATATGGCATAAACTATTTTGATTGGTTGTTGAAATTTGCATTTTATATTTGAATTTTATTTTCATGAGAAAGTGGTATCAAACGGTTCTATCCGTGTTTAATATTAAGATTGTAACTTGAGAATAAAGTCATAATCATTCTATTCAACCATCATATGACAGTGTTAATGTCTGTTTAGAGATATGGACATAAAATATGGAATGACAATTTGTCTTATGATCACACATACTATCGTCTCTACAAAACGCCTTTCTGATCATAATCATTATATGCTCATTAGCGACTGGCTTCAAGACGTGTTTCCTGGAGTTTTAATCAGAAACTACGACCAGTAGAGTTCAACCTGGTCTGTTGTGAGATAGAAACTTACTGAAGACGATGATGAACTGTGGCAGAATTGCACAGATTGGTTGGTGTCAGAGATTAACACTGATGACTGCGGGATCAGTGATTTAGAGGTTAAGCATTCGCTAATGAGACTGAAGGTCCTGAATTCAAATCTCGCTGGCGGAATCCTGGATGCACACTGCTGATGAGTCCTATATTCGGACATAACGGTCGTCTAGTGCTTCCAGGTTTTCCATAGTGGTCTAGCTTTAGTTGATTCATGAATTCAACTATTAAATTACTATAGTCTTTACAAAATTCCTTTCTGAATTAGTTTAGTTACTTAGATTAAATTCGTCAGTGATTGTGATAAGAGAAAAACTATAAACATCATAGTAAAGTAGAAAGAATGGTAAGGGATTTTTTTTGGAAAACGACACAGATTTGTAATTACAATAGTGATAATTGTACTAGAAAGCTAAGAAAATGTTTGAATGCAAAAGAGGTAAACTGATTAGCTTGATATTGTTTTGCTTGTATTATTCCACTGGGGTTTAAGACTGCAATTGATCAGTCTGTTATTGGCATATGCGCATACTGTGTGTGTGTCTCGATATTGCCTTAATTCACAAGCTTCTTTTGTAAGCGAAGATGGATAGTGGTTAGCAGTGGAATCCAGTACGCGTGTCACTTCGTCCTATTTGAGACTCGTCAGCTGGATGTACCTGCATCTCAGAGAGTTGATGTTCACTCTGAGACTTGAACTCAGTATCATTCGCTTCAAACGTCATTGCGTTATCCACTCAGCTATTGTGTCCTGATAGTCACTTGCTTGTGCAATGGGATGAATTTAAAATTCATTTGGTATTGTTTGACTTGTATCTGCCCATTATCCATCTTTGCTTATAAGAAGTAAACTGATTTCTATTGAAATGTGTTCCCTTGAATTATTTCAAAACCTCGTTATAGCCCATAGTAAGTGTCATCTGTGTTGAATAACACGACTAAATCACAGTAATACGAGTACGTAATAGATATATCTATATCAAGCTAAATGTAATGAGTTCACACTGTGGTGAATGAATAACATTTTTAGACTATCACAAATGAATAGTAATAAAAGAGGAAGAAGTAAATAATATTTATGCTTGGATGATATTTACGAATAGTAATTCTTAATACAATGGAGGTGTTTTATTTCACTTTAGAAAGGATCTTGACAATAAACAAAATATTGCCTTTGTCGAATAACACAGTGTGTAATCAACATGAAATGGTTATTTTAATGATAGACTATCCATTCTGGAGAAGATTTGGGAGATGTAAAACCCTGTACATATTTGAGCAGCATCATTGATGAATATGGTGGATCTGATGCAGATGTGAATGAGAGGATCGGCATAGCAAAAACAGTATATATCAAAATTGAAGAATGTCTGCAACTCAAAACAACTGTCTTCCAATCAACACTAAAGTCAGATTTTCCAATACAAATGTCAACACAGTCCTACCGTAGGAGGCGGAAACTTCGAGAACTACAACAACCATCATCCACAACATACAAGTGTTCGTTGACAGTTGTCTATGAAAAATACTTCGGATTCGTTGACCAGACACTACACTATCAGCAACAACCTATTATGGGAGAGAACAAACCAGATTCCAGTGGAGGAAGAAATCAGGAAGAAGCATTGGAAGTGGATAGGACACACCTTGAGGAAAGCACACAACTGTATTACAAGGTAAGTCCTCATCACTTGTAATCCTCAAGGCCAAAAGAAAAGAGGAAGACCGAAAAATGAATTACGCCGAGAAATGGAG